TTTCCCTACTATCCCACTAAATATTCTTCAGTAAATAATGCATTTTTATATGTCTGCCTACTGATACACACAAATGCATAGTCTTACTTCTTTAAGTTCTTTTTCGCTCAAAGTTTAACCAAGGTCCTCTAATTTTTAAACTCTGAAGATGCTTCAAAGTGATCCTAGAATCCTAAGAATTTCCATTCTGCCAATGCCCAAACATTGAAGGACTTGGTCTTCTTATTAGTCTCCTACAAAAGGAAGAGTTAAAAAGACTGGGATTTGAGAGAAGACTGAGCTACTAATTGAGAAGTCTGGAACTCTTTCCATTCAGCAATGATGAGTGTTACCTACCAGGTCCTTTAGAAAAATAGAGGAAGAAAAAGTGAGAAGAACAGATTTGGCTAGAGAAGGGAAAGAATTCAGGATGCAAACAAAATATAAGGATATAGAAATCAGATAAGTCACAACTACTTTCTATAATAATTTACAACTGCTTGTAATATTTATTGACAAAGTTATTTAATACCACACTAAAAGAAAAAAAAAGATTCTGTCTAGGATCAGTCCAAATGCCACTGTACTTTTCGTAAGGTCAAACCTTGTACATTAGCAAAACTAAAATTTGGGCATGATTTTTCTGCCCAGAAAAAAAGAAATGAATGTTCTCTCCAGAATTTCAAATATATATGACATTCTCCTTCAATATCTTTCACAAACTGTAGCTTGCTTCATCACCCTGTTTAAAGCATATTCTACCAAAAAGGTGCCTGTATTTTATATATTTTTACCTATTATAAACAGTCTAGAAAGTACTAACTAAGGGTTCTTTCAGGATGAAATGTGGGATATAATGGATCTGCTATTATTATTATGAACTACTAGACTATGCTATCACTGAAATATTTAAAAATACAGGTACTGTAGGTATTTGGACAACCAGAAGCAAAAGAAAAATTAGGGTAGCTAAAGGGAGACAATTCTTTATAATCTTATACTGGTTAATTAGGTTATTGAAATGTTTCACCTAAGGCAGTATTATACATCACTAGTACTTATTATAGAATTTACATTAGAAAATTTTAAATACTAGCTGTCTCAGGGATTTTTCATGATTTGGGCCTAGGGTTCCTAGAAGAGTCCTAAATATCAACTAACTTTTTATCAGTTGCCACAATTATCACCCTTAATGACTCTAATAATATTTAGGTTTTGTTATTTCTAATGGTAGTTATGGAGAACAAAAGCATTTTGCACTTATCCAGTGATCTTACAGGGACATCAGGGAAAGGATATAACCAATATATTAGATCTGTGCTGATGACAATGTTCTATTTCTTGACTGGGTGTTTGATACCCAGGGATATACATTTGTTAAAACTCATTGAACTGTACACTCAAGATCTGTGAATTTCACAATCTATAAATTTTACTTTGATAAAAATATTTTAACAGGAAAAATAAAACATTGGCTAAAAAGCTGATACACTGGTGTTTCTATTTGTGCACACTACTGTTCCACAATTTTAAGACATTAAAATATTAATTTTAATATTAAAGACATGACCATTTTGTTACTCTCTTACACTGTAGTCTTCAATAAGTTTGTAAAGATATATTTTCATGGCTATTATCATTCCTTCATATGTTCTATTTTTTCAGAATAGAAAGTGAATCCTACCTCAAATATATTTTTGTTTATTGAAGTATGATTTACTTACAATAAAATGCACAGATCTTCAGTTGTCTGGCTTGCTGAGTTCTGATAACTGTATACACTGATGCCACCACCACCCAAGATGAAGAACATTTCTGTCAACCCAGAAGATTCCCTTGTACCCATTTCCACTCAATTCCCACTCTGCAGCCCAGAAGCAACCACTTTCTAATTCCTATAACCATAGCTATTTTTGCCTATTCTTGAACTTCATATAAATTAAATACATAACTCTTGTGTTTGGCTTCTTCTTTTCAATGTGTTTTTGAGATCATCTATGTTGTTGTGAGTGCTAAGACTGTGTTCCTTTTAATTTTACTATTCCTTTGTATAAATGTACCAGAATTTGTTTTTCTAATCTCCTGTCAAAGGACATTTGGGTTATTTCCAGTTTGGGGCTATTATGAATTAAGGTGCTAAAGAACATTTTTGTATATGTCTTTTGTGGATATATGATTTTATTTATTTGGGAAGCCCAGGAACGGAATTGCCAGACTATAGGATAGATATAGATTTATTTTCTATATACAAAATAAAGGCTAAATAGTTCTCTAAAGTGTTTGTATCATTTTAAATTACCATCAATAAATGAGAGTTCCAAATGCTGTACATCCTCACCAACCTTTAGGTTGTTTTAGACATTCCAGTGTTGATTTTTAAAGCCATTCTGTTTTGTTGTTGTTATTTAGCTATTCAAGTGAGTGCGAATGGTATTCCTTTGTGGTTTTAATTTGTATTTCCAATGACTAATGATGTTGAACATTTTTTCATGTGCTAATTTTCCATTTAAACATTTTATTTGTCTTAGATTTATAAAGCTGGACAGTTGCTGATTTGGTGATTGTTAGGTCACTCAGACTATGTAAATATAATGTATTGATCTTTCTAAATGTTCTTCTGGGTTTCTGTTTACAAATTTCTCTTTGTATTGAAAGCAAAAAAGACAAAGTATCTTTCAGAGGACTGTGTACCAGCCAAAGGGATCTGGAATATCATCTTAGGGCCACTTTTCTTAAAGTGGGAAATCCTGTTATTAGTGACAACATGGATGAACCTGGAGGACATTATGCTGAGTGAAGTAAGACAGAGACAGAAAGACAAACACTGCATGGTATCACTTAACAGGGGTAAAAAATAAAGTCCAACTCACAGAAACAGAGAGTAAAAAAGTGGTTGTTAGTGGCTGGGGGATGGGGGAAATAAAAAGAGGTTGATAAAGGGTACAACTTTCAGTTATAAGATGAATACATCTAAGAATCTAATGTATAACATGGTGACTGTAACTGATAACACTGTATCGTACAGTAACTGAAATTTGCTAAAAGGGTAGAACTTAAACTTCTCACCAAAAAAGAAAAAGAAAAATTTGAAGTGATGGATGCATTAATTAATTTGATGGGAGGGATCCTTTTACAATGTGTGTGTGTGTGTGTGTACACACACACACACACACACACAATGTGTATATATATTCACAACATATACATCAAATCATCACATTGTACACTTTAAATATCTTATATTTTGGTCAATTATATCTCAATAAAGCTGAAAAAAAGGGAAAGCCTTAGATCATCCTTTTTTTTTGTTCTCCTTTCCCTATTTCCTATTTTAGACCAGATCTTCTAAAAACTTGACTCCTACACTACACAGACATACTCATTAGATTCTTGTGTGTCTCTATAACTCCTGAATGATTTGTATAAAAAAACCTGAAGAAGTTAGGAATACGTCATCCCTTGTGCCAAACCTTGTTAGTCAAGACTATTCCTTGATAAGATTCATGCAAAACACTTACACTGGCATATGGATGGACCAAACCTACTTAATCTCCTATTACAGGATTGAGAGAAGCAATGGGGGGCTTTCATGTAGAAAGAGGGGGTGGGAAACCGAGGGAAGATGAATGTATATATCCAGGTCACTCGGGAACTTTTATGCAGATGCAAAAAATTTAAGTCAAAACTTATGTTTAATAGGAGATGGACAAATGTAACTCCATGTTTACTACTAGAAACCAAAGCTTTGTGCTAACTGTTGAATTTATAAGGAGGGAAAGATAGCATGAACCTGTTTGTTCTTTCCCTGATACCTTCCTCTCATTCCTGAACTACAGAAGACTGAGCTCCCTTGGGCTTTGGTGAATCTATCACCAGTGTGTGTTTATGGTTTTAATGGCTACTTTCTTTCCTTTCTGCTATACTTTTGCTATATACTTCTGCTATATGCTGATCCTTTTCCCTTCCTCTTCTTTTCTCCAAGAAAACACAATGAATAGACTTACTGATACTGAAAAAAAGAAGATATAACAATTATAAATACACACACACATACACATCTAACAAGACAGCCCCAAAATACAAGGAGCAAAAACTGGCAGAATTGAGGGAAGAAATAGAAAATTCAACCATAATAGTTGAATCAACAATAGATAGACCAACTAGACAGAAAATCAGCAAGGAAACAGAAGACTTGAACAACACTATATACCAATAAGACCTAACAGACATCTATCAAACCCTCCATCCAACAAAAGCAGAATACACATTCTTCTCAAATGCATATGTAACATTAGCCAGGATAGAAGATATGTTAGGCCATAAAACAAATCTCAGTAAATTTAAAAAGATTTGGATCATGTAAAGAATGTTTTCTAATCACAATGGAATAAAATCAGAAATTAAAGAAAGGACATTTGGAAAATACAAAAATACATGGAAATTAACAAACTCCTAGATAACCAATCAAAAGGGAAATTAGAAAATACACTGAGGAGAATGAAAATGAAACACAACACATGTAAAAACTTACGGGATGAAGAGAAAGCAGTACTCAGAAAGTTAAACACTTACATTAAGAAAGAAGAAAGCTCTCAAATCAATAACTTATCCTTGCACCTTAAGAAACAAGAACAAACTAAAACCAAAGGAAGCAGAAGGAAAGAAATAATAAATACTAATATTAAAGAGAAAACAAATGAAATGGAAAATAAGAAAATAGAGAAGATCAATGAATCTAAAAGTTGCTTCTTTGAAAAGAAAATTGACAAACCTTTATCTAGACTGACTAAGAAATGAGAATCAAATTACTAAAATCAGGAATGGGGGGCGGATATTACAGCTGACCTTGGAGAAATAAAAGGTATTATAAGGGGATACTATGAACAATTCTATGCCAACAAATTAGATAACCTAGATGAAATGGACAAATTCCCCAAAATACACAGCCTACCAGGACTGAATCATGAAGAAATGGAAAACTGGAACGCATCAATAGCAAGTAAAGAGATTAGATCAATTCAGAAAACTTGTCAAAAAGAAAAGCATGGGACTGGAGAGCTTCACTGGTGAATCCTACCAACATTTAAAGAAGAATTGACACCAATTCTTCTCAAACTCTATCAAAACAGGGAACACTTCCTAACGCATACTATGAGACCACATTACTCTGATACTAGAACCAGACAAATACTTCAAAAGAAAACTACAGACTAATCTCCCTTATGAATACAGATGCAAAAATCTTCAACATTCCTGCAAACTGAAACCAGAGAAAAATAAGAATTATACATTGCAACCAAGTGGGATTTATCCTGTGAAAGCAAGGTTGGTTCAATATATAAAAACCAATCAATATAATACATCATATTAATAGAATAAAGGAAAAAAACCCACACGATCATCTCAATAGATGCAAAAAAGCATTTGACAAAAATACAATTCTTTCATAATAAAAAATAATCATCAAACTAGGAACAGAAGGGAAGTGTCTCAATCTGACAGAGGGCATTTAGGAAAAACTCACAGCTAACATCATATTTAATGGTAAAAGACTGGATGCTTTCCCCCTAAGATCAGGAACAAGGCAATGATATCTGTTCTTGCTACTCTACTCAACATTGTTCTGGAGGTTCTAGCCAGGGCAATAAGCAAGAATAAGAAAAAAAGGCATCCGATGTGAAAGAAAAATGACATGATCTGATATATAGAATA